CCATCGCGCCCGAATCCATGAAGCCCACCACCCTGAACCGGCCTTTGGACTCCTCGGGAGGTCTGGATCCATCAGTGGATGCCGGAGCAGAAGGGGCAGCCGGACCGGGCGCTGCAGATGATGCCTCCATTACCACATCCACTTGAAAGCGGCTCTGCGCGGAGTCGTCGCTCTTCAACGACGGTTTCTGACCCGACATTTCTGTCAGTGATGCACCGAGAGACAAACGGTTAGCGGGAAAAAGCACCTGCTCCAAAACTACAGGGAAGCTGCCACATTTAATTCCAAACACGGATAAACTGAAATATAGTCATTTACTATTCCGCTGTACTTTGGAAACCTCTAATCACTGGATGCGCCAGGACGCACGACAAGCGTGTCTGAAAGTGCTCATAACATGCGTAAAGGACACGAAGTCGTTCTCACTCCCTCTGTCTCTCCCTCAGATGGTGACTCAGACGATTTATTGTCATCTCTGGCTTTGTCTCCTCCTCTCTCTGGACTCGGGAGACAGCCCAGCATGCCAGGAACACGGAGAACAATGAGGAGGAGGCAAGAGTAGAAAGGATGGATGGGTGTCCATTACGCACCAAACTCCGGCACGCGCTCCAGCGCGTTTCAGTCAAGAGGAAGAGACTAACACGACGCTTAGACAAAGGGTAGAGCAACAGAGTTCCTCCTCATAAAGTTTGTAAAGCATACGAGCATGTTTAGTTTTCATTGGCAGTCTTGCGCAGGGAAGAAAAACCACTGTTTTGGTGCCAGTTCATCCAGTAGGTGCAAAGTAAACTGTAAAATCATTATAAACACAAACACAATGACTTTAATTTACTATTCTGTTGCATCAAGGCTCACTGCCGTAAATAATATATGTAAAAGACACCAACTCCCTTTTTTTTACCACCCCCTCTCGCTCCGCTGCATGTGAGTGTGTGTTGGCATTAAACAATGACATTTGTAATCACTGCTGGTGACACACTGAGACATTCACACAGAGGCCTAGATACGCACGAAGCGAGGCAGCAGCAGCAGCATTAGCATGGGGAACAACAGCTGCTTTCTCTGTCGAAGCTCTTGATGCTGAAACCGAACACCGAACAATAAAAACAAAGAGTGACGGAAACCAGTTAACTCAACCTGACCATCTAATCTTTATTTAGGATATGGTTTGTGAGTTAGTGGCAACACTTCATCATAACTCAGATACGTTTTTTAAACTTTGCAAAACTAATGAGAGATGTTTGACTGCTATTGCCTTGGTAACCCTGCTAACCCTGATTTTAAGGACTGCATTGGTTTAACAGCTTAACGTTCGAATATTAATGGAATGATGAAAAGTTTCAGAGTGAATCCTGAAAACTGGAGTATGAGAAATGAGTAACACCAGCATCAAATGTTGGTTGGCTTTTGTGAACTGTGAGTTGATGATCTGATGCATTTGCCTTTCCTGTAAATACAGAAGTTCTGATCTTGAAAATATTTAAAAGCAAAATGTGGTTTTCATAAAAAACCGTGCAGAACTGCTAATTGAGCAGTGTTTGCTTAAACCTGCAGTCTTGCTATCAGCTCATCACTGGTTTTGACAGGAAATAGCAGTGTGCCAGGATGTTCTGATAATGACTGAGGTGCAGGCGCAAAGCTGTCTTTACTATGTGAGTTGATGTTTATTATATAAACCTGGCTTTCCTTTGAGTGTCCCTGGGTGTTTCTCTCTTTTATTTTGTTTTACATGATTATGCTTTCAGAGCCCAACAAATTTTTTTACACTGTTTTTTTTTTACTTTGTTTTAAAGACAATCGTCATCTTAGAAAATATACAAAAATAATCTTGATTTTATTTTACATAATACTCATAATACTTTATTTAGCTTTAACAACTGGGATAATTCGACTCCTGAAAGTAGATAAGACACAAATCATTCTAGATCAGGTGCCCAAGTGGGCTGGACCATGAAAAGTACAATGACTTATATAATGATGATGATGGTGTATAGATATAATTCATATGGATAATATATTAAAACAAATTATCCATCCACTCTCTTTCACTTAACCAATTCAGAGTTACAGGAGGCCTGGAGTCTATCCCAGCTGCCACAGGGTGATAGGCAGGAAACACTCTAGACAGGTCATCAGTCTGTTGTCGGTCTAACAGACAGAGATTCACGCCTATGACCAGCTTAGAATGGCTTAACTTAACCTCACTAACCACTTTGGACTGTGGGAGGAAGCCAGAGCACCCAGAGAGATGTCATCAGGATTCAACTTTTTAGATTCCTGTAGACTTGCTGCTGTAGGCTGAAGCTACTGGTGGATTTCCCATGATGGACTGAGACCTTCTCCTTCACTCCCCATGTTTTATAGACCTTTGTTTAATACAATGAACTTTTTTTCTTGTCTCTTCTGTAGTTGTTTCTTATTTGTGGTCTCTCTATGCTCCTCTTTTGTCTCCTTCCATTTCCCCCATCCCATATCAGCCTTCCAAGGCTTCTTCCTGGTTCTCTTGGTGGTCTTCCTGTTAGAAGAGAATTCTTCCTTTACACTTTTTCCAAATGTTGCTCATAGGAGAACATCTGGTTGATGGTACTCTCACTGACAATGTACAGTCTTTACTTATGCAATTTAAAGGTAAAGATACCCCCACAAAATCTACACCAGTACTGGTGTAGATTGTCCTAAAATATAGACCCGAAACCACGTGGTTTCGGGTCTATATTTTAGGACACATTTCAAAAAAGTGACTGACTCCTCACAAAAAGTCCCATCATTATCACTTCAGGTTAAGCTTTGTTTAATCTGTTCAAACATCTCCTCCCTCCACAGACACAAATCATCAGCCAGTCACAGCTAAACCAGGGCACCGGGTCATCTGGCATTAAGACTGACCCTGAAACTGTTTGCAAGGCAAGAAAGTGCAACGAAACAGTTCTAGGAAATAACAAGTTAAGCTCAAACAAGGATAAGACTCACGGATGGGAAACAGTTGTGCAAACCATAGATGAGTAATGTTTAACACTTCTCAAAGAAAAACAAAATGATTGGCCGGGATTAACAAACATTCTTAGAGCTTTTAACTGAGCCTAAAATGTGATTTTATGGATTAAGGAAAGTTCGAGCAACTCTGAGCAGGGAAAGGAGCAAGAGTTTTATCTTCAACACAAAAAGTAGTGACAATGATCTAATAGTTAATGGTCATAAAAAAAATAACCTTATCATACAATCTCTGTTTACACTGCATACTGCAATTATCAAAACTTTCATGCAGTGAACATCTCTGTTGAATAAACTGGAAGCAAGACTCCGGCCTGTTAAAGGTTAGATTGTTGTAATGGAGTGAAGCAGAAAAAGAAAGCAGCATAACACAGAAATACTTAAACAGAGTACATTAAAACTGTACTTCAGTAAAGTACTTGAGCAAATGTACTAAGGTGCATTCCACCACTGCTCTGATCCATGCTCTCGCTCAGAGTGTTGGGCACTCTCAGATTAACAGTTTATATTTCAGGGGAACTCAGGTTAAAAGGCTCTGAAAGATCCAAGTCATCATTCCTGTTCTGTTTGCATATTTCACATTTTCAGTCGTCCTTTCTTGTGGTGAGCGCCGCACTTTCTGCCCTGATTGAGACGTTGTATTCAGTGAGAGAGCTGATGAGACTGACCCGTGCACAATTTAATCTGTAGCATTTAACAGCATTGGAAAGCTGTTTCCCTTATTTTGTATTTACTGTTTGCCTAATACTAAATACTTTAATGTGAAAAAATACTTTTTCACAGTGTGTACATGTATACATTAAACAGTTGTTTCTTCATATTCTGTTGATAGATTTATTTAATACTGAAAGTTTTTGAGACATTTTAAATAACTAGTGCGACACCGACTCTGTCTGTCTTGGTTTCTTTCATATTACTGTTGTGAATTAATCACTACATGTTAAACATGAACATGCCAGCGTTGTCCATTCAGTTTGTTTTTTCATGTTGTATAATAATCGGAGCCTCTGAAGCAGCTCAAGCTAATTTTACACTGCAGGACACAAACAGTCCACTTTGATCTTAAGTGGCCTGGAGCAGTGAAACTCCCCTTTCTGCTAGTGTAAAACCATAATATGCATTTAATGAACTTAATATAAGGAAAAGAAGTACAATTACAAACAGAGGTCTCTTTTTTCTAATGTCATGCTGCTGTAGCAAATGTAAGAAATCCATCAGCATGACTCTTTGGACAAACAAACAGAAAACGCTCAGATTTCTGTAGTAAATAGTGGGAAAAAAGGGAGCTTTTCTGGAATTTTATCGTTTGTCTCTAAACATGATATTTTGGTGTTGAATGAATGGGGAAGGTGTTCATCAGTAGCCAAAGCTGTAAAACTTGTGAAAATACACTTAAAAGTCCAAAATTTATACCTTCCTTAACATTTTCCAAAGCCGTCCTGTTGACTGGAGTCTTTGCTGGGCTGACTGTGGCCCCCGGGCCTTATGTTTGACTCCCCTGCTCTAAAGCTTAAACAAGATAAATTTTATCAGATTGTGCAAATACTTTGTTTGCTCTCTTGGAGAGGAAAGCTTTGTGAGCCTCCCTGTCCCTGAGCACAACTTTACCACCTTAAAACCTGAAGTTAATGAAATCTGATAAGACAAGCAGAACAATGGGCCCATTAATGGACACTCAAGCCTGAGTAAGTGCGTGTTTTCTCTTCTCAGAAGGGGCGTTTAACACGTTTAAGGTCAAATTATCTGTTTTTTTTTATTTGTTTGCTTTTTTATTTGTTTTATTTTCACTTTTACTCCTGGTGCTCACAGTTCTTATGTCCTTCATTGACCCTGTCTCCACCTTTATTTCTACCTTTCTTTTTTTGTTTTTATGGAAGAAGCTTTAAAGTTGTTCAAGTCTTCTTACTCTTTACTAGCGGCTCAAGTTCAGCCAAAGAAATACTTAAACTCAAGCATTTCTGCTACATTTATATTTTGGATATTAGTACAAAACACACAGGATTCAGAGCTTTGTTTCTATATCAGATATGCATGTTTTATTGGTTTTTCTGTGATCTGTACTCAGGTTTGGAAAAGCCCTCTGGTCGTCACCGCAGAGCTGTTATACCTGTGAGGAGAAAAGTAGCAAAGATTTTATTTTATTTTAAGCAAATCGTCCAAAAATTTATTGTCATAGGTGGTTACAGCTGGCCTTTTCTCAGTCAGTCTCTGTGGGGTTTCACCTGGAGAAGTGGGAGGAGCAATGAGCGGGCAGTCCTGTCTGGCTGAACGGAGGTGAGGAGGAGGAAGAGGTGGTTCTGTAGGCGGAGTCCTGGCTGTGGCAGAGACGTTCTCGACCACAGAAACACAAAGACTCCTCAAGAGGAACCACGGGGATCCCCGCCAGAGCTGCGTTCTGAGCAATCGTACCATAGTTAACAAAAAGTGAGAAAATCAGTTTAGTTCACTGACATAAAAATACAAACCGACTTTTAGGAAAAGGGGAAATGAAACTGAATCAACGGGAAAAAGTTTTTTTTTTTTTTTTACATTTACATGACTTTTACAACAAGCCCAAGGAAGCTTTTTCTTAGTGAGACTGCACTATATACATGCCTGTGTTTATACTTTATACTTAATTAATTAAAACGATATATATATCTTAATACCAAAACAGCCAGTATTAAAAAAGATGACAATTTGAAAGCTAACGTGTAACAAGCTTCAACAGGAAAAAGAAAGCTATAAAGAGCAAACTTACTCTAAGTGAAACTTCATAATAGATCCTACTTTCCTGACATTCCTCATGTAATTTTTCTGTATTTAGGGTGTCATTTTCAACTTAATATGACTTGCACCTCTTAAGGTGGTGTGTGGACAAGAGGCATTGTAATGATTAGGCCTTTCCCATTCAAGCTGCTCTTGAATGCTCCTTTACTCACAGGGGTCACCTGAGTTTTACACTAGACGCCCTTCTTCATGCAATCCCAAATGGATTTGTCTCCTCCCAGGATAAAATCAGGGATCTTTCATTTGTTAGGTGAATGAGTAAACTACCACACTATGGAGCCACTAGACCTTTGTCATAAAATGTTTTAATTGTTCACTACATTAAAAAAGCTTACATTTTCCTTTAAAGCATTAAGCTGTTAACCCTTCTACTGGTAAGCATTTTTGTGTAGAAAAGTTATGCAGTAAATGTTGGGAAATTACACAATATGTCACACACTTTATTATGAGAATATTTTTCTAAACTTCCACCCATGTACCCTATTCTGCTTATCTGGTTCAGCCAGCTGCCACAGGGCAAGAGACACACTCCACAGAGCCAGATGATGGAGTCGTCCTACCCATCACACACCACGCTGTCCTTAGTTTAAAACCCCCCCAAAGCAAATATAAATTAAAAAAAAAAATACAAACCAATAATAACATTGTTTCTGCCATAAAGAAATCTGATTGGATGTGTTCTCCTGACTGACACCTGCCTTCATCAGGAGTCTCCGGTTCTTCATGTCCTGCTTCCACGGCATCACGTAGAGTTTGGGGATCATTGGATGTCGGGCTGAAAATGTTGGGACGTGGCATGATGATCGTCTGGGAGTAAATAGAACAGGATATGAGGTGTGGCTTTTGGGCACTCTGGAGGATTCATGCAGTTTGGTTCAGTTTATCTGCTAGTTTGTAAAGTTTAGAGACAACTAAAGGAGCTGCAGTTTTGGTGTTGCTGTGCTGCAAAGACTGTGCCTCTTAGTGTTAGTAGATAAGCCTGAGGAAATGGAAGTGCAATGCAATCACGTTGGGTCATTTTTTTTTCTAAATTAGTCCCAGTAATCTCTATTGAATTAAAAAAAAACTTGATTTAAAGTCAATAATGAACTGCCTGCTTCCTTGAATATAGTTTCCTTTGGTTCACAGACTCCACTCCACCCTAATACAGTCTGAAACACTGGAAGATGGTTGCAGTTACTCTCCATATCAGAAGAACTAAAATAGATTCTTGAAATAAGATAATGCATCTAAAATACATTCAGAAAAAAAGGGAACATTTTCTGATTTTACACATATTTTTGTACAGATTTTATTTTCGGTAACAAACCATTTAATGTACTAAATAAAACAGACGGTATTAACTTCTTGTATTATTTGCTGTTACACTGAAAAGCGGGACTCATTTGTTGAATCGGACTGTGCAGAATGCTGGTTGGAGAAAGGAAGTACGTCCGTGCATTTAATAACACTTTACAGCTCTGTGTTCAGTGTGAAATAATCAGAAAATGTACTTACTCGTGCTGGTCAGCGCTCCCTGTGTCAGCCATGTTTGTTGACTGTCAGAGTCACCATAGAAACCCTCATTCCCCCCAGTGCATTATGGGTCTTGGGTAGAATTACAAGTAGACACTTTGGGGCTGTTTGTGTAACTTCAGTCAGCGATGGAGAAGAGCAGCGAGTAATTTCTGTTTCCTACATCACATACACTGTAACTCAGGAAAAAAAATAAAACACCACCAACTGAAGCTGTGTAAAATGGATCTTTGAGGAAATAAATTAAGATTTAGCAACTGGACAACATACAGTAGGACTGATGGAAGAAAAAATATTAATGTGTTTCCCTCTTACAGCTCCACATCATGTGTTTCTTTGCTGTATGGTCATATCGTCATTTTTTAAACTTCACCTGAATGTTTTTGTCCTCACTGTTAGATTTTGGAAACCAGATACTCCAAGACAGGGATGAATCTGGATGATCATCACACTGCATGGCTGTCGTGTCTTTTTCATTTTAATAGGACCATAAATCACGAATTAAACATAATGCTGGTGTTTAATAAGACTGAGAACTAGTGACTGAGACCATAAACTAACCAGGAAACCGTTTACTGTGGTCACAGAACCAGGAAGCATAGGATTATTTCGCCATAGACCTCTATGTAATCTCATTGTAACCAGAGGTGTTTCCCTTAGGACACTTGAGCTTTGGCTTTACTTGTTTTAGACTCTAAAGTGACACTCAGCTTTTATTTACAGTTTTGCACAGAAGTTAATCCAGAGTAATACTGGCTAAAATTGGTAGCCTTTAACTCATCGGCCCTGCACCCGGCATGGTAAGGGATTGATTTTGGGACTAGCTATAAAAATATATGCACACAACAAATAAACCTTTCTAAATTTCTGTAAAAATGTGAGTAAAGTTTTCTGTAAGTTAAGTTTGTTTTTTAAAGGTTAAGCTAAGTAGCAAGTCGGGTAGCAATGTAGCGACAACCTCTAGAAGACAAGGAGCTGATTGGCTGATAGGTCAGAAGACAACTAGCTAGTTATGTCACAATCTTTCCCTAATATAATATAACCATACTGAAAGATATATCCTGCTCACTGTACATTTTCTCTCAATAATGTCCCATCCATGAGCATTTTATAATAGGCTTAGTTTCTTTGCCTACCGTGGCTAAAAAATCAGATTGCAATTCTGTTCCCTTAAAAACAGACTTCATGTGTATCCTTATACACTGAACAAAAATATAAACGCAACACTTTTGTTTTTGCTCCCATTCCCCATGGGATGGACGTAGAGACCTAAAATTCATTCCAGATACACAATATAACCATCCCTCCCAAACAGTGGTCACAAATCAGTCCAAATGTGTGGTAGTGGGCACATCTGCTATATTGAGATAATCCATCCCACCTCACAGGTGTGCCACATCAGGATGCTGATCTGACATCATGAGTAGTGCACAGGTGTACCTCAGACTGCCCACAACAAAAGGCCACCCTGGAATGTGCAGTTTTGTCTCACAGCAAAATGCCACAGATGCCACAAGCAATGAGGGAGCGTGCAATTGGCATGCTGACAGCAGGAATGTCAACCAGATCTGTCGCCCGTGCATTGAATGTTCATTTCTCAACCATAAGCCGTCTCCACAGGCGTTTCAGAGATATGGCAGCACATCCAACCGGCCTCACAACCGCAGACCTCGTGTAACCACACCAGCCCAGGACCTCCACATCCAGCAGGTTCACCTCCAAGATCGTCTGAGACCAGCCACCCAGACAGCTGCTGGAACAATTGGTTTGCACAACCAAACAATTTCTGCACAAACTGTCAGAAACCGTCTCAGGGACGCTCAACTGCATGCCCGTCGTCCTCATCGGGGTCTTGACCTGACTCCAGCTCTTCGCCGTAACAGACTTGTGTGGGAAAATGCTCACATTCGATGGCGTCTGGCACGTTGGAGAGGTGTGCGCTTCACGGATGAATCATGGTTCACATTGTTCAGGGCAGACGGCAGCTGAGAATGTCCCAGTTCTTGCATGGCCAGCATACTCACCGGACATGTCACCCATTGAGCATGTTCGGGATGTGCTTGACCGGCGTATACGACAGCGTGTACCAGTTCCCACGAATATCCAACAACCTCGCACAGCCATTGAAGTGGAGTGGACCAACATTCCAAAGGCCACAATTGACAATCTGATAGACTCCATGCGACGATGTGTTGCACTGCATGAGGCAAATGGTGGTCACACCAGATACTGACCGGTTCTGGGTCCCCAGACCCCCAATAGCGCAAAAAACTGCACATTCCAGGGTGGCCTTTTGTTGTGGGCAGTCTGAGGTACACCTGTGCACTACTCATGATGTCAGATCAGCATCCTGATGTGGCACACCTGTGAGGTGGGATGGATTATCTCAATGCAATATAGCAGATGTGCCCACTACCACACATTTGGACTGATTTGTGACCACTGTTTGGGAGGGATGGTTATATTGTATATCTGGAATGAATTTTAGGTCTCTACGTCCATCCCATGGGGAATGGGAGCAAAAACAAAAGTGTTGCGTTTATATTTTTGTTCAGTGTATGTTGTAGGAAAAAGTGTTGTTTGGGAGTAATGCGATGTGCCAGGCTCACACTAAAATAGGCATGTCACACAACTGAAATATACAAATCATGGTGAGAGGAGGGGTTTTTACATAACTAGCCCTTTTCATTGCACCATTTTGTCAATTTAATTAATAGTAGCCTAAATGAAAAATAAATACCAATAATACCCATCATGACATCATAACACAGCAATTTATAGTGCAGCATTATCAAAAATCACAATTCTTATAACCAATTTCAGTTTAAAATGAATCTTCAAAATCGGTCTTATTTTGTGACTGACTGGAGTTCCTTCAGCTCCTCTTTTTGCACCTCTGATGGCAGGAAGAGTAAAACAGAGAAGAAGAGAAGCTATGCAAGCTGAGAAATGACAAATGTTTTTGCAGTAAATGTAGCTGTACATAATAACTGTATGCTAGTACTTTTCACTGTCATAAAGTTAGTATATAAAGAGTAACTGTGAAGTGTTAATGTTTGAGGCAAACCGCAACATTCTTTCTGACTTTGGCGCCATCCAGTGGTCATATTAAGAACAACACAGATGACGGCACATCCCACTGGAACTGTTTTAGATAGATAGATAGATAGAACTTTATTAATCCCTCGGGTGGGTTCCTCTGGGAAATTTGATTTCCAAAAAAGCACAGCACCGACAGAAGTTACAGAGTTACAGAATATTACACACACATATATATAAATACAGAGACAATATAAATAAAATATACGAAGGGGATAAATAGAATAAATAGGAATAAATGAATTTTAATAAATGAATTTTGTTTCATAATTCACAAATTTAAAGATTATTTTCAACAGAAGATTTTTTTTCTGTGTGCAATTAATTTTTTTGTTAATTCTAACCACAGAAATGTTTTATTTTAGTTTGAACTATTTCAAGCTTACATGTAATTTATTTATCTTATTGATTTTACTAGGGATGAAGTAGTGGAAGTAAATGTGATTTTTCAGGAACATAACGCAAACAGAAAGGGGTATAAATTATATTAAGAGAGGAAGGTTCAGTTTCTAAGAAAAGTCTTAGAAATAAAAGAAATACAAATATTAGAAGCCTTGGTTTGTATGGCATTATAGCACTGAGTATTTTATGTTGTATTTTGTTAATTACACATGAGAAATGGCAGTGAGTACACCACTTAAAAGTTGGGCTTGCTTGGGGAGAAAACAGTTCCACGCCTGTCGCCAAAATGAACAACTTTGGGCTACAGAGACACTTGTGGAAGAATCTTGAAATACACAGTGATATTTATTTATAAAATTAGTGGTAATCCCAAAAAGTTGCATTTTGCAGCAACCAAATAAGGACAAATGCAGTCTGCATTACGATCGTGGCTCAAGAGTTGGCGGTTTGTCTTGTAACCGGAAGGTTACCGGTTCGAGCCCCGGCTCGGACAGTCTCGGTTGTTGTGTCCTTGGGCAAGACACTTCACCTACTGGTGATGGCCAGAGGGGCCGATGGCGCGATATGGCAGCCTCGCTTCTGTCGGTCTGCCCCAGGGCAGCTGTGGCTACAACTGTAGCTACCTCCACCAGTGTGTGAATGTGAGAGTGAATGAATAGTGGAATTGTAAGGCGCTTTGGGTGCCTTGAAAAGCGCTATATAAATGCAATCCATTATTATTATTACAAATTTCACTTCATTTTGACCATTTAAAGATATCAAATTACCTTTATTTTTGGAAGAATCTATTTTACACTCAAGCGGCAAATTCTAGGACTGAAAAATTAAGAAACACTGAATTTTCCAGTAGCTGCAGTTGCTCAAGTGGCCAGATGAAACTAGTTCTAAAAGTGAGTCAATTCCAGTAGACTCATACTTTCCAGTCTTCCAATTCTGAAGCAAAAATAGACATTTAACACATTCTCCCTGGATAGCAGCTACAACTGATCCATGTGGATAGTGTGTCAGTGGCGTGCTGTGTTTTACAGGTGTCCTGACACAGGAAGTTGCACCTGATGTCTGTCTGCTGGGCTTTGTTCTTCACTAATTCAGTTCACTGAACTGGCCCTATCCTCTGTGTTTGTGCTGTTTGTTCCTAATTGCAGGTGCCTACATCTGATAACTTAGCACTCTACCATGTCATTCTAATGTGATCACTTCTGTCTAATAAAAACAAAAATGCTAAAGCTAAGGCTTCATAAAGTGGTCCAAAACCAATTGGTGACATCATCATCATAGTAATGTTCATAATAAATATACAGTCTGTGATTATAAAGTGCTTCACACGAGGCAAAACTTCATAACAGTGAGTAGCATAAGTCCATAGTTTGCCTGTGATGATATTTAATGCCATAAGTAGCAATGCTAGCAACTAATGGTATTAAATGGAAATGCTTCAAAAACAGTTAAATTATAGTATGCAACACTTTGTATCATGTGACGGGATTATCTCTCTGTTCCTTTGAAAATGGTTGGTCCAGTGTATCCTCTGCAAAATGAGGTAACATATACTTGTAAAGCAGCAAAGCACCTTTACTTTCCTTTTCTTTTTCTAGGAGAATTTGGCCATGGCCTCCAGCTATGGCCACCACCTGCGTTCTGGTGTTTTAATTTTTGAGCAGAATTCATTATTTGAATGTAAACTTTTTTGCTTTATTTTTGGTAAAATATCAGATTTAGACAGAAGTGTTGAGCTGGCTCAGACATCACTGTAACAAGTTTACTGAAACAAGTTCAGTAAACAGAAATGTTTCCACCTTTAAATCATCAAATGGTCATTTGAAATGCCAGAGGCTGGCACAGGTTTAGCAACTACTCAACAACAGCTAAAGATGGTTTAACTATGACCAAGTTGAACACCAAGGTGCACACCCATAGGTGGGTGGGGGTGCACATAAGTGGTCCGCAGGTGTGCATGCGCTTTCAAAATAAAAGACGCGCACCAGATAAGAAGTTGCAACGCGCGTTTGCGTACATAAGATTTTCTGGAGGAGGACAGACATTTATTCAGAACTCTTAAAGATGTTGAAGAAGCAAGCTCCTTTAAGCAATTACTTTGGTGTTTCTCCACCTCCAAAGAAATGTCAGGAGTCCGAACCGCAAAAGAAGAGACAGAAGAAAAGTGGTTCCTCTAGCGGACTAAAAACTCTGTTTTGGGATTTTCACTGCATATTCTGCACCACATCTCTGTGTGTTCATCATTTGTTTCATCATTTGTCCGGACTCCTTCTGTAATTGCTTAAAGGAGCTTGCTTCTTCGACATATTCCTAAACAAATTTCTGTCGTCCTCCAGAAAATCTTATGTACGCAAACGCTCGTTGCAACCTCGTATCTGGTGCGTGTCTTTTATTTTGAAAGCGCATGCGCACCTGCGGACCACTTATGTGCAGCCCTGCAAAACAGTTCAAATTTCACCAGAGGGGACCATTTTTAGCATTAATGTTTCTCTCTTTTAAAAGGATTTATTTTGTGTGTATCATTATAGTTGCTGCCCTACAAAGACAGACAATAGTACAGGAACTTGATACCAATGTCAGGGAGTTTCTGAAAAAACTAACATAGAATGCTGCTGTTAATGCTAGCTGTGACTTCACTTTCAATTACACATTTGGAGCACAAAAAGTCTTGAAATAATACAAAAGTATGTAAGTAACAAATATAAACCCAGACGTTGGGTATATTTGACCAAATATATACAGTAGTTACTGTATTTTGGCTTCATAGGGCAGAATACATTCCAGTAGTGTTATTTTTTTTTAATAACAAACATACATATTTACACTATATTTACAAAAATAATATATATGACTTTCACTGTGCTTATACTGGTTTTCTGTACTTTCAGGCAGCTTCCTCCAGCAGTCTTTGCAGGTTCTTCTGCACCTGAAAGAACAAAGTTTGCTTTTGCTTAACTGTAAACTGTATTGGCAGAAAACTCGACTGCAGATAAGTGCATCTGATGATATTGCAAGTGTTTGTCTTGGTTAGTAAGTGTAGATTTCAAAATGAAGCCTGCTCCTGTTTATCTTGTTGTTAAGGTCATTTCCTTGTTCCTGTTGAAAGCTAGAGACTCAGACTTGAAGCAGTTGAAACAGCAGTTAGGGTCATGTCTACATGAATATCTGTTATAACACAGATGATGTGGAGAACAGTACCAACATCATTGACACGTTTATTATTCTGAAGCTGGCATAATTGCTGTGCAGTCAGTCTGCAGAGAGATCAAGTAGACCACTGCAGACACATGGAAACCATAGACTGTATATAAAAGATGGAGGTATCCATCACGACAACATTCGTGAGTTTTCACTAATTTTGATGACCACTTGATTTGAGTAAAAGATGAAGTTAAATAATGCTTATTTAACAAAGTAGTGCAATTAGCAGATTTCCACGAAGCCAATGGAAGTGCAGAAAACTGCAGTTCTTCCAAACATGAAGATTGATGTTTATTTCTAAAACATGTTTACAGGCCTAACTCTTTTTGGCAGCTGTGGATAGTTTCTCCCTTCCTAGCAATTTAAATTCAAATCATCTCTTTCAGTAGCAGGTTTAATGTGAAATAAATATTTCCAGTCAATTTCCAGTTTTCATTTCACTCAGGATCAAGATGGACTCTACAGTCTGACACAGCTCTGAGCCTTTACCACCTTTTTGCTGATGAAAATTTTCTTTATTCTCCGTCTAAAACACTGAGGCGGCTGTCAGCTGCTGCTTTTTGTTTGTAAGGAGACGAATGTCAGCCTGAAATATAAATGGAGTGTAGACTGATGGAGCTCTTCTTACAAATGATGCTCTAAACTGATCACTGACTATAAATGTTTGATCAATGGCAACAGGCATCCAGTTACACTTTGCTCTTTGGAAACTGCTGAAGCCTTCCTGCTGTGTGCTTTCAGAGGCTCATGAAAGAAACTCCTGATAACACATTCACGCAATTTTTAAAGGTGACCTGTTATGCTTTTCCTTAGTTTTTTTGAAGTGCATACACTTGTAGTCATGGCCCAAACGTCAAATAATGAGATCTGTGTAATCCCAAAGTGAGTAACTCAGGGTTCAGACCTCTAACTGCTCAGATTTGAACATTTTTTTAAATTATCAATGGGGATTATAGCATATCCAGAGGGCTGTATCTATCAACACTTGATCTGAAAAAACAAAGACAGACCAACCTTCTCCAGCTTCATCAGGTTGATGGTTAGCAGTTCAGATAAAAGATTTGTGCCTACGTCAGCGGACCCACTCAGAAAATTGTTTCTGGTAATAAAACACAAAAATAATCACCATGAAAATGATTTAAAATCTTCACAAGGGTCAGATGTATCAGCAAAAATCTAATATGAATAAATCAGAGAAAAGTAAATCTTGTAGATTATTGTACCATAGTCCTTGAGACGAAATAAGGAAACCATTTCATGTCTGTGAATCCACTGTTACCTGTTTAGTTTGGATCATTAGTTTCATTATTTGGGCTATTTTTAAATTTGTTTTGTGAGGATGTGAATAAAATTCATCGTGATGCTTTTGCAGTTTTTGTTTCTCTTTCATCTGGTTATCATTTCCATGTCTAATTTCTCACTTTTTCAACCTTCTTTAGCTAAGTTTTCTAGAGCTTGTCAGAGTCTCAGACAGTTCGACGACTCACTCCGGGTGTGTGAACTCGGCCACAGCGCCGAGCGTTGTCAGTCTCTGCTCCAGTGAGATGATCTTAAACGCCAGGTAACATGAAGACAAGACCAGGGTGCACACTCTGAGGAAAAACACATGTAAAAGAGAAGATGAGCAAATTGAGGCTAAAATGCGCTACAAATGAAAATGTAATGATAAACTGAAATTAATGTGCATCCAATGAATGGATGGAATAAATCCGCAGATCATATAAGTGATCAGCTTAATTTCCAATTAGGACGAGTGACAGAAAAATCCTTTACTGAAGACATGAATGAATCAAAGGCAGCAAACTTACAGGAACATGTAGACCATCAGCAGAGTGTTGAGAGAAACTGGCTTCAGACACCTGCTGTCAATCACCACATCCGAGCCTGAAGAAAAATCAAACAAATATGTCTTTGTTTACGACAAAAAGACACAAAGTAAAATGCCCTACGCGTGTGAGAGCAGCGCTGCATTAAAAAGGTTGGAATAGACTGCTTCATCAACTCATAGAAATCAATATGAAAAGGAGTCATTATAAATATAAGCAAGAAAAGAAGTGGAGCTAAAGAGTTATGGTTGGATAAGCAGGAGAGAGCAGATGGAAGAATGGATCATATGGGCGTATTTTTCATTAATATGGAAGAAGCAGCACGGTGACACGATGGTTAGCACTATTGCCGCACAGCAAGAAAGTTCTGAGTTCAATTCCACCATCAGGCCAGGGTCTTTCTGTGTGGAGTTTGCATGTTCTCCCTGTGTTTGCATGGGTTCTCCCGGGGTCCTCCAGCTTCCTCCCACAGTCCAAAAACATGCCATTAGTGGGATAGGTTTTTTGGAAACTCTAAATTGCCCATAGGTATGAATGTGAGTGCGAATGGTTGTCTCTGTCTATGTGTTAGCCCTGCGACAGACTGGCGACCTGTCCAGGGTGTACCCTGCCTCTTGTCCCTACAGATGGGATAAACTCCAGCGTTCCCCGTGACCCTGAAAAGGATAAGTTGAAGTGAATGGATGGATGGCAAATATGCAGGAAATTTGGGCAGCTGTGAGGGATTCTGGGTAGAAGATATCTAATGCATTTAGAAAAAATATTTATCCAGGTGACGTATTTCTTTATTTAGAAACTAATGTTTCGTGCAACCCATTTTGCCAAATCTCCTCTGCAAATGTGCAAAATTATGACCAATACAGACGCTGTTAATAACAAATAAAAAAATCAAGTTTACTGTTGGTACATGATAATATTATTATTTGACAGAAACAGAGTATTTTTTTTTTCAGTGATAAATATAGATCATTCAGGACTACATTTATTTATATTTGACAAGTTTGTGTTCTGGGAAATCCCCGCAGGTCAGTTTGCATACACGACACATATGAGATCACAATCGGTGCTTCTTTGCACCTCAGCTCACCTCTCATGGCTTTTAGAGTTAAATGTTGTTGAATTGTGGCGTTCTCAGACTGACTCCTTAATCCTGAGTACAGCTGAGGATATTTTCATTTTACCGCTTCTAAAAGCGATTTTTTATTTTACTGTTACAAAGTTAGCGGCAGTTTATATTTGGCTGTAAAAATAGAGGTGGGGAGAGCAGCAGTACAGGACAGTGCAGGCAGCAATGTCAACAGAAATAAGTCCAAACAGAAGGAGCTGAGTCAGCTAAACTTGAGCCAATGCTATGATGAATTTGACCAAAAAGAGAAATAAAATGTAGGGACTAAAATAATAAAATTATAAATTCATAGTCCCATGAGAGGTTCAGTGCCAGTGGTTTAAATAAAAGTGATGTTTAAACTAACACGACCCTGATTAAAGACTCATCCTACCTCGGTGGTGCTTGGAGTGCTGCTTGTTGTCTGGACCCTGCTGGTTCAGATGTGGGTTCTTCACTTTGTGCTGGTGGTCTGGAGATGATGCACTGTCTGTGCGCTTCAGCATATCCAGGAATGGAGGAACGGTGAACTCTATAGAAGCAAAAAGGCAAGCAAAGCATTCAAAACTGGAAACCCAGGGCCTGTTATGACTTGGGGCAGGTTTGTAATCCCGATTAAGTCCTCTTGAGAAAGACACACTAAGTATGTTTGAATAAACCCTGCACTACAAGCTGCTCATTTTCAACTTCATCACAGCTGTGTGTGTGTGTGTGTGTGTGTGGGGGGGGGGGGGGGGGGGGGGGGGGGGGGGGTTAAACGTCAACAAAAAATAAAGAGTAAAGAAGGAAAATTATAGCAGCACTAAGTAGCACAGGTCAGATTCTACTACTGAAGTGCAAAAGTGGTTCAGGTTTTGTGAGTAAAACGTTGACAGCCACAGACGATGCATGCGACGATGCATGCGACGATGCATGCGACGATGCATGCGACGATGCATGCGACGATGCATGCGACGATGCATGCGACGATGCATGCGACTGCTTCTAATTGGTCAGTTGGACAGCGATGCAGTACCTTCTATCTTCTCATAGTCTGGAACCTGAGAGTCAGAGCTGCTGCTCTCCTCCATCTCCTGCCTCCTGTGTCTCATCGCTCCATCCAGGTCGCTGAATTCACTCTGCAGAAATTCACAGACACAGAGAGAGTATAACTAGCAGGCACTAGCAGCTGCTTCACCCCCTCATCCAAACATGAGCATATCTATCATATCGATCGTATCTGTACTGAAAAAAACTTCACATTTTCCTACAAATGATATTTTGATTGGAGCAAACAAAAACAAAAGTGAATAATAATAATAAACATTTAAAAAATGGTTGAACCCAAGATTCCAGGGTGGAAATAGGAAATGACAATTCACTTTAGTTACATAAGAACTTAATGCTTTTAGAAAGCTGCAATTTAATTCAACTGATTTCTGTTGTAGTTCTGCTTTTATGAAGGTTGTAAATTTTCATTATTTGTGCAAAAGACTTCTAAAAAACCCTCAAACTATCTGAAACAATATTTTATACGTTAAAAACTAAAATAAAATCTAACATCCAGTTGCTGATGTTCTTGTTGCAGATGTTGCTGCAGAAACTTGACGTCGGCTTCGCTGTGTCAGCTAATTTTATCTTTTATCTTAACTTCCAAAATGTATCCCTTGGCAAATATCCCATGTAATATAATATTTAAAAAGTCTAAATCCAACAGCTAAACTAATATAAACTAAACTGTAATTCAAGACGTTCAAACAATAATAAGTAAAATGAAAGGAGCCAACACACATGGGAAATTAACTGAAAATAAACTGAACTTGAAGCAAAAACACAAAACATATCAATCAAAAGTAATTAAAATGATAAAACTACAATAACTCACCTACAACCTCAACATTAAAAGTAAATGATTATTTAAAACCCATTTGCTTTGTGGAGTTTATGCAGTTGTATTAAATTGCACAGGCACTCTAAAAGCATCACTTTTAGAGATAAAGACTTTTGGGGTCAGAGAAAACACAAAATGAATTAAAATGGGAAAAAGTAACATTTCAAAGATCCTGTTTGGGGATAAAGTGGCCAAAAATAAATAAATACATAAAGCTTTAGCCACAAGGACCTGGGGCGATTGATACTGACATCAGGAAGTGTCTCACAGGACAGCCTTCTCTCTTGGACACAGCTTTGTTGAATGCATAAACACAACATGCAACAAATATCCAGTTGGAACATATGCAAAATGTTACTAAATGATTTGCCAGCTGGCTCCGGCTCTCATGCAGGGAGTCTTTTTTTTCTGAACAGCTTCTGTCCCCATAGGTCGAAATGCTTAGTTGCCACGTTACAGCTCCAGCTCTCGAGGATATTGGTTTTATTTCACCTCAAGTTTGATGTGTTAAAATATCTTTCTGTCAGAAAAGAGACCAGAGAGACAAGTGCGAGGATGGACCCAAAAGCATGATGCTGTCTTATTCTTATATCTTTTATTATATGTAGGCAGGATGAAAACAGTATCCGTTGTATCAGGAAACTTTATGGCATTCGGCTGTTTGTGTTTTTGCTGTGTTTGACCCACCAGAGGAAAGCGAGGCGATAGCGGTGACCTCCGACTTCTAAAGCTGTTTTCAGCTGAGGAGGGAATGGGGCTGCTGCATGGACTCTTCCCCTATTTATATTCATGTAATACATAACCAAACATCATGTGTTTAAATGATCCTCAAGTCTTCAAACTTATTTAAAATGAATAACATAAGAAAGCGCAAGAGTAAAAAAGAAAATTATCTGAAACTGAGTGTTTAGTTTAAAGCCAGAGTTTTCGGCTCACAATGTCTACCTGTTGATCACGAGCAGTACATACATGACAGAAAACAAGGAAGCATAACACGTCTGTATGGATCTAAATAAAAAGCCTTTCCTACCTCCAGATGAGGACAGATCGACATCAAAAACTTGTAGGTGTTGTCTCTGGACAAGAAGGACACAAAGACGTACTGCAACACCAGAAATAGAAAAAATGTCTTTTGGATACTTTTCCACATGTGCAAAAATACTGTGTTTTTTTTCTTAATTCATCAAATCGTGGTGAGAAGCAGCGAGATTTCTCTCACCCTGTCATTTGTGGTGGCGATCACCAGAGCGTTTGGCAACAGGATGGCAGTTTTGGTCTTCTTGATGTTTTTGATGGACACCACTGGGATGGCGACCTGGGACACAGAGCAGTTCGATCCTTCATACCAGCTTTGAAACCAGAGAAAAAGATTCACGCACCTGTAGGCCGGCTTCACTGTGACAGAGCTGTTCACTGACCTCCGTCAGCTTTAATTATCACCATCTATACACATTAACTGCAATTACATTCTCAGCCTAGATTGATAGTTCCAGATGTTTCCCATACAGTAACAGATGTAAAACAATCCAGTCGTGACCACACAGCAGCAAGGTGTCATCTGCATGTGTTCATGCATGCAGCAAAATATTAGTCCCTCTGCAGACTGTACCTGCAGGCTGCGTGTGTGTAAACACAGCTGGCTTACAAAATAAAGAATAATGCGCTACAATGCCCGCACAATATCAATATCCACTTAGCATGTCCCTTCATGGAGGAAAAAGTCTTTTTTTTATTGCAGAAGCACTGCTTGGATCAAAATGTGGCAAAAGTATAGACATTATTTACTTAAGTGGAAGTCCAGATATTTAAAAAAAATACTCCTGCAAAACTGAAGTAAAAGTGAAAAAGCAAAGGCTCTCAAAAGTGCTCAAACGTCCTCTATTCATAAAGCAAAGCTCCATGATTGTGCTGCCAAAACAACGACACACTTATTATTCAATTAAATTGTGTTGATAAAAATCAAATTGAGGTTAAAAATCTTATTTTACATCACTGAGTTCTTCTTGGTCTCAAGTGTTGTGTAACGGATAAAAGTGACTGTTTGCTGCTTTCTGAACGACAGCAAATTGTTCTGTTTTCTGTGAAACTTCTCCAGGTAACTGTTAAATAATTTAAACCGACATATCTCATCAAATCAAACGGCTGCTGCTGGCACCTCACTGTGTTCGCCACTTTAAACAGCATCAACACAACAAAGACTCTGACACTCGCGTGGAACCAAGAAACACCACTGAAAACATCTGTGTATTCTCCTGAAATCTCTTTCAGATTCTCAGCCTTTTCCTGTGAGCTGATACAAAACAGACATCAATGCATACCTTGGTATCTTTTCCAAACACCTTGGAGTGGAAGCAGATCCAGTGGTCGGAGACAAACATGCGTCCTTGGTAGAGGATGTCTTTCTGAAGAGCACAGGTGTAACCTAGCAAACAAATAAAGCACATTAAAAAAACACATTATTTTTAGATGTTTGTGAGGAAAAAAACAAGAAAAGACCAGTTCAGTGTTTGTATTGAACAAAAGAGTTTGATAAAGTTATTATTGGACTTTGAATTTACACTGTAGTCCTATCATAGGGATTCTATTATTATCAGGTGGTTAACAAGAGGCTCTGGTATCAAATGTTCAACTATGACCTAATCCTTCATTCAGTATTTAAGGTGGAGTGGATAGCTGTGATCATTAAAGACTTACTCTGTCTGAGCTGTTCTTCTTTGCTGATCTCCTTAAATATTTTATGGTACTGGCAGTTGGTCTTCGAAAGCTGAAATACAACACGCACGCACGCACGCACGCACGCACGCACGCGCACACACACACACACACATATATCAGTTAAAGCTAAGGCTGACATTTGGATGAATTCTTATCAGAGAAAAGTAATAAATAAATGTGGCTTGTAAAACTTACGGTACTCTCAGGAGAACTACAGAGCATTTATTTATGGGATTGTTGTTTTGCAGCAGTGTATATCTATATGTTGTTAGACAGAGAAAAAGCTCTAGTTCCACTCCATCATAGAAACATCACCCATACACCAAAATAAGCTTGTGCGTGCGCAGGCAATCATGGTGTTTAAATCATGTGGATACCAGTTACAGTTTAGAATTTATATGACATTTTTGCAAGAGAATTGCAAAGGACATTTTAGAGAAATGCATTTTTAGACCAAATCAGGAAAACTTAACCAAATAACTGTGGTATTAAGTTAAACCAAACCGACTGGCTTAGGCATTTTCAACCATTTACAAAGTATAAAGATATTTTTTGTAATTAATCTCGAGCTAAAACGTTCACCTCTAGGGAGCAATATTTTACCCCTGGACATGTGACGCTGTTGTTTTAACACTCGTGTCCTTAAGACGTTTTGCCTTTTGCGCTGTGAAAAACAATGTGCTTTTAATGTTTTGCATGGTTAAATAAAGACCACATTGACTCACTGCACCATCATGTAGCATTACACGAATGTTTATTCGTGTTCTAGCTCTTCAATGCAATATGCAGATATTCTGGACATGAAAGCATAGCTTAAAATATAAAATCATTTTTAAATATACAAATTTAGACTAAGTATCTTTAATACTGGTGGAATCATTAACCACTTTATAAACACTATAAAGCTTTTCTTTTCTTTTCCTTTCCTTTGGACAAACACTGATGTATCGTAATCCTTGTGGTGTGTTAACTTTGTGAGTTACAATCCAGCTGATCAAGAAAATAGCTTTGAATAAGCTATAGCTAACAAGTCATTAGCCAATTAATCTATTTACTAACAAGTTATTAGAAAAAGTTATTTTAAAGTTTTAAATTCTTTCATTTGAAAGTGTACAAAAACCTCTTTGTGAAAACTGATTAGAAAAATAATTTTTGAATTCTTAATTGACTTTCAAATGCCTAAAAAGTACCAGATATTATTATTATTATTATTATTATTATTATTATTATTATTATTATTATTACCCATTGTCTTTGTGAACAAAATTTAAAGCAGCAATTTAGTGATGTTATTTGAACTTTCGTTCCTCACATTGGTTTGTGGTGCCATGTCAGAACACTGGATGTGTTAATGTTGGCGTCATGAAGTAAAGGAAGGACCAACCAGAAGGAGGCCTGACCCACAAACTGTTTATAACCTGATACATTTCTAAGATAATAAGGTTGCTTGGAAAAAAGCGAGTCAGCAGAAATTTTATCTGATATTACTCATTTGGAAACCAAGTGACCGAGAATGGCCTGCATGTAACATTTATAGGTGTAATAAAATATGTATCAGAGTTTACTTAATGACCTCTCACCTGGCTGTAGTGAGACTTCTTCCTCTCGATCTTGGAGTCTGGGTCTGTCTGCACCTGAGTCAGGAGAGAATGGTCGAAGGTCTTTGACCTGAGGACAGAGAGAAATTTCAGAGAGAGGATTTAACATATTACATAGCCAATAAGACAGAAGATAAACAGAAGTCAGCAACCTTTGGTAAACTAATTTTAGTGTATTTAAGAACAATAGCAGCCTGCTGTCGATTCCTGACATCATACTTTTATGAAAACCAGGAAATATTCAAATAATTCGAGGCTGGAGAAAAAAATGTTCTAATCAAAATCTGAAGTTGAAATGATTAAGATTATGCTCTTTTTTAGGACAGCATTATAATTAAAGCTGAAGCATATTAGCACCATCATATGACTCCTTCGTTCAAAAAATTGGATTTTCTTTGAATTTATGCTTTAAAAAAACCACAATTCAGAAGTCAATTTGTTCAAATGTTCAAAACAACCTGCAGTCATTGTTCCACTGTTACACATTTTGAGGTTAGGGAAGATTGCTGCCTAAGATAGTGGGAAAGAGTCAAAGGTCAGATTATTATTCTGAACAATGAGGAACCTTCTGAGAGTCAGATCATGGTGAGATTAAAGGTTTCTGTGGGTGCTGAGCATGAAGTCAAACAACACTTTGTGGAAAACTGATCATTCATCAATCCATCAGTGCATTTTCTTGTTGTGGTTGCAGCAGGTGGTCTCGTCTCCAGCAACATTTTCCACTTCCTCCTGTGGGATCCCGAGAAGCTCTCAGGACAGATTAGATTATCGTTCTGGGTCCACCGCCACACCAACTTATTTCAGTCGTATCATTTATTCAGTCATTACCCAGAAGTCATGATCATACGTGAAAGTTGTAACATGAAATGATTGGTAAGGCAAAACCTTAATTTTCACACTTAACTGACTCATCACCACAATGATCTGGTACAACGCCTGCATTGCTGTATATGGAGCAACATTCAGCATCTGACGCTCTGCTGTCCCATCACTCTTGTATAAGAGCCAGAATAATTAAACTCCCCGAATGGGGCAGCAAGTTCCTCCCGATCCAGAGTGAGAAATCTACTATTTACTTGATCAGCTGGATTGTAACACACAAAGTTAACACACCACAAGGATTACGATACATCAGTGTTTGTCCAAAGGAAAGGAAAAGAAAAGAAAAGAAAAGAAAAGAAAAGAAAAGAAAAGCTTTAAAGAAAACATCACACAAGATATAGAATTTACTCTAATCAGCAAAAGTCCCGTTTACATTCAGAGGATAGAAAGTGTCTTGGAATTGCTTCTCAGGAGAGAACAAGGAGTGGACTGAGATATAACAGCATTGCAGAGGTCAAGAATGGAAAATGTGTTGTTTTCTGGTGAATCCCAGTTAACGAATAAGACCAAAAGGAGCAAATATTATACCATAATGTACCTTTAGTCGTATTATGGCTTGTCACAAGGTTATTTAACTCAACCTTGGAAGTGGGTAACTATTTGTACTGTGGTTGTTTGAACCTTACAGACTTTGAACGTCTGGTGACCAAAGGGCAAGCTAAAATTTCAAGGTAAACCTATATTCTTAACTGGGCATATTTGGACCTAGCATGACGTCTGAATTTCATATGCAACAATCTAAACAATACAAAGATATTTATGGATAAAAACCAGAGAAAAACGTTTGTAACTTACCTGACTAACACTGGCTTTCTCCTCCCTGTTAGCTCCGGCTGCTCCTGATCAGCAGCCTGCAGTGGTTCACTGCACATCCTGCTCAATCTTTGCTGCTCCTCTGCCACAGCTTCTGTATCTGAACTACACACGAAAGGGAAAAGTGAAATGAAACCCAAAATCATACTGTCCAAGAAAAGTGGGAATCAACACAACATGCAAAGATTTTTTTTGTTTGGTATTTTGTTTTGTTTTGTAACTCTCTGGAGTTTTACGTAAGGAAAATCCTGCAATAGCACATCTTGCTTTCTTGTCCAGCTGCAATGCAAAAGCCAAGTTTCCCAACTTTCTGTTGTGACATTGCAAAACAATAGATAACACCTTAGATATCGCTCAAGGTGAAAATTTCCAAGCGATTAATAGATAAAGCAGAATTTTTACAAGTCAAGAAACCCACCATGGTGCCAGTCAATCACGAATCCAACAGTTTGGTAAGTAAACATAAAGAATCCAGACAGCTAATTATGAATAAAAGTCAACCTTCATAAAATGTGCATCCCTCATTATGCATTTTCTTTCTTTGCAGTGAAGGTTGTGTGATGAATATCTAAGTCTCCTGGGGACCTAAAGACTCCATATTCACCATGTGGTAAATTCACGACTGAATCATTTTAATTCATGCAATTCCAAAAGCTGACAAGCCAAGAAGATCTGTCAGTTAATCAGTCAATAATCTGAGTGATTGTTCTGCTATTCAAAAAGACATGAGTACTGCTATAACTTTTACTAATGCAACCAAAACAGCTAACACAAATATCTGTGTGACACTGCCTTTTGTACTCTAGAGATGTTTTTGTTTTTACAGCCACAGACTCACTGAGAATCCCTTTCTTCATGCTTTGCAGCTCCTCTGCTACATTTCCTGGCATCCTCCTGCGACGTCTGCTGGTTCCCACACTGTTCTGTCATTATGCTCAGCAGATATTTTCCAAGCAAACGCTCAGCTAGACGTCCTGACTGCTGCCGTGAGAACTGCAGCCTGATCCGCTGCTCCCTACGCCTACCTGCTAGCCTGTCTGTGGGAGTGTCCTTTGGGCCCCTCGGTTTCACATGTCACAGCCAACCAGATCACAAAAGGGTGAAGTGTGTGTTTGTGTGTGTTCGAGATGTGCGCATTTGAACCTTTGATCAGTGACATTTTACTCGGCTTTGTTTGTGTTCCTAAACTTAAAATGGTCTCATAATCAATCTAGTTTTATTTGCACAGGAACAATACTTCTACCTTCCACTTCTGTCTAAACAGGGTGAAATCTGATCTGGTTCCCTTTGCTGAGGGGAAATGATTTCACGTGTTCAGCCTGTTGTATCCCCGTATCCCTGCCGACTTTCTTCATGTTGAAATGTGTATGTTTGTTTTCCAGTGGGGAATTAGAACGCTGCACGGAGAAGCCCCTTAAAGATTTAAGAAAAAGCTGGATTGGATTGCAATAAATAGACCCACATCTTAATTTCTATAATTTATAATCCCATTTTTATCTCAGAAAATGTCCCTCCTGTTGGCATGATTTACAGCATTCAATCTTTAAAACATCTGTAGTTGCACGACGAAAAATTTATGTAAGTAGTATTTACACGGGCTGCATGCAGCCTGCACTCAAAACTACATGTTGTTGCACAAAACTGTAACTCATTACATTACAATTAATCTGATTAAAGTGCTGGTAAGAAACGAGGACCCAACAGTTCAGGTTCAGATGTTTTTTTTAACATGTTGATCTCCTCACTCAGCCGGAGTGAGGATACACGATCCAGCTGTTGTTCTGGCCGTGTGTGTGTGTGTGTGTGTGTGTGTGTGTGTGTGTGTGTGTGTGTGTGTGTGTGTGTGTGTGTGTGTGTGTGTGTGTGTGTGTGTGTGTGCGCGCGCACTGCAGTGTACGTGTGTAATGAGAGCTCTCAGCTAAGGATTGGTTGGTCATGAAAACAGTCTGTCTAAACACGTTTTATCAATACTTGTTTGGATTTAAAGTGTTTAGCTTATATATCCTTAATAAATTCCTGATTGGTGCACGATTCCTGTGCACCAATGACACCATTTTAATTATGGCAGAAAATACTTCCTGTATGAAGCTAAAAGTGCAAATAGCTTGGAGAAAGGACCAAAGTGGCTTCGGTCTTTAACATTTAATGTTTAAAAACACACGCACAAAAACTAGACAATTCATAGTCAAAAAAGCTTCAAGATGGTGTATAAAAATGTATGTTGAATAAATAAAGATGACTGGCTCTGGGGTGTCATACTCATCTCAAGTGGGCCAGACCATTAAACTGATGGTAAAATTACCTTTTTTTGCGTAAAGAAGTAAAAGTAACCATGCAGTTACAAAATGATGAACAGCCCTTAAAAAACAGTACGTCTCATTTCATGTACATTACTAAATAATTATTACATTTTGCTTTTGCTGATCCAAAGAATTTGTCAAGATCTAGAAAAATGTGAACTTGTGAAAATGTGAAGTTGCAAGTATTCTTAAATAAATCATTTGGAAGGCCAGCTGTGGCCCCTGGGCCATATTTTTGACACAGATAGACTGATCACAGTGGAGGCTGTACCGGTCCGTCATGGTGAACAGGTGAGCAAGAGAGCTGAGTGTAAAAGCGAAGCTCTCGATTTACCAGTTGATCTGACAAGGATGCCTCCTGGATGCCTCCTGGGTGAGGTGTTCCAGGCATGTCCCACTGGGAGGAGGTCCCGGGGCAGATTCAGGACACGCTGGAGATATTGTATCACTCGGCTGGCCTGGGAAAACCTTGGTGTTCCCCCGGACAAGCTGGAGAAGGTGGCCGGGAAGAGGGAGGTCTGGGCTTCTCTGCTTGGGCTGCTGCCCCTGCAACCCGCCCCCGGATAAAGTGAAGAAGATGGATGGATGGATGGATGGATGGATGGATCAGTCTATCCTTTGTGGGTTTTGATAATGTCTTGTTCCCCTGCATAACAAGGCGTTCTTACTTATTCTACAAGGATTTTTTTGTAATAAGACTGTCAGGAACATTTTCTCCATACTTAGGAATGCTCTGATTCTGAATTTAGATCAGATATGGGTCCAAAAGTGAATCAAAGACACATGGATCTAAGGGGCCAGTCTATTGTTTATATCAGGATGCATCTGTGCACTGGATGCTAACTGGAGAGCTATCATGGGTAACAGCAAAGTGTTACCATTTTATAAACAATGTTTTCTCTGTTTGTGCCACAAAATAATTTGAATTGAGTTGACAAGACTCCCCAGCTCAGATGAAAATATTTTCTTTGGTGGTCATCATTGCTTTACCTGCGTCTCCTCAGCTCCTTTTCTAACCAGTAAAGACTCTCACACTGAGCTGAAATGAAATGACAGCAAATAAAAGAGGCGAATGACAACAGCAAAAATCATTTATCTTGGTTCTATTTACAATTATTATTTCACTGATAAATACCATTTTAGTACATTACTTTTTGGATGTATTTATTTGTGAAACTTTATTAAAGCCATGTTTAAGTCAGGTCTTACAGAGAAAAGTCAGAGTGAGCAATACAGTCTTATTGGTTTAACACTGATAGTCTGAAGTAAAAAAACAAAAACAACAACAACTCTGGAATCTCCAACAGTCCTATGAAGAACTGTTCATCAGTCTGTTAGCAACTACCAGATTTCTCCAACATTTTTTGTTGTGTCTTTCTATTTGTTGGCTTACAACTGACTTTAGCCCTCTTTAGGGAACGTACACACAGAAACAACGTGGTGCACTTTGAAATACAAACAGAGCTGAACTGTTTGCCAAGTGGGGTTTTTTTTCCCCTGGGGTCTTTTAATAGCTGATTCAGCTTTTTCTTTTTAAAAGAACTGATTATAAAGATAAGGTGAAGACAGTCTGTGATCCAAATGCTGACTTTCTCGCGAAACTCTCATGTGGCCCATGTCGTAGTATGAAATAACCAAAATTACTCTGTTTTTGGTTTTTAGTACTTTTATGGCCAGTTCTGTGCAGTTTGCTTCACGTGAGCTGAGAAAATAATCTGCATACTGAGAGCACTGGATCAAAGGTGTGTAAACAGACAAGATGTCCTTTGAAATGCAAACATAAACCAAAAGAACTGCAGGTTTAAAATGCTTATGCCTAATATTCCATATGAATTTTGACATAAAGTAACAAACTGAGTGTACCAAATACTGTATGTGTCAGTCAAATAATAATATTTAAAATGTTTTAAATAGTTTTGTATTCAACATGAAGTGTTTCAACTGCATTTATTCTCATTATGAAAAGTTAAACAGGCTCAATTAGTTGTTGCTAGTTTCTCTATTCTAAACTGTGATAATGTAACACTAAATAAAAAATTGCCACTTTTTGGCTTACTGATGCATTAGACACAATTATGAGATGTTTTTATTACATATCAGACTAAGTTATTAGGCCTGCTGTTTACATTAGTGACTACTACTGGCATGACACACAGTTTGCCATCACTCAAGCTGTGGGCATAGACTGTAAATAAACAACAGCTTTAAGTGAGACTGGTTAGCGAGGTGTCGTCTTGAAGCTGTGAGCTGAACAGGTTTTTTTGCCATCACAGCCAAACTTTGCTTCCTGTTTAATATAACATTAAATTCTGAATTCCAAGCTAGAAAACTTGCACTTAGCTGATAACCCCTGGTACATATATGGCCACATCCAGTCAAAAGAATAATAATTTTTTTAATAAGTTCAAGGCTTTAATATGCAGGTGGATGACATGCATGCATCTGTTTATGTGATGCTTTATTTATACATGTTTAGCCTGACCCCACAGTTTTGCAGCTGTCGCTGATAGAATCGTCGATGCTTTTTAAAAGATGGAAATTTAAAACAAAACAGCGTAGCCCTTAATGGGCTAAGATTACGAGCATAGATATAGAGGCATGACACCAATTTACATATCTGAGCAAATGTGGCTTGTTTTAAGTAAACAAGAGTAGTAGTGAGTACTCCCAGCTGGATGTAGTGCAAACATCTGGGATGTTTTTGTTGCTGTTGTTGCTTCAAAATTTTACACTCCATAAAGAACTTTTTTTTTCTCATGACACCCAGTTTCCTCTGCACCAAAGACAGGTGTGGACATCACACCTCTTCCTTTAATAGGGAGTAGTCTGTACTGAAGCTCTCAGGATCACCAAGTGACACTTGACAGGAGGCACAGCTGACTCTCGTCTCTGCATCATAAACTATTTATCACTGCTGTCTTCTAGTTCATGTTGTGTTGGATTTGATGGAGTGTACTCCATTCTTCCTCGGGTATACTGCAGGGCACAATGAGGTCAGATATGGCATACCTGCTGGATCCCGGCAGGGATTTTATCTGCTGTCGGTCTATGCTTTGACACTGTTTGATTGATAGGCTTCCTTCTCCTGCAATCCTAAACCTTTTATCTCTGGTTACTGATTGACACACTCATAAATGTGTTTTGTACAAAATTTGACATTTCACGGGAGCACTCCAGCATTTTGCCGAATATATTTGTTTGCGCTCCCTCTCAGTCAGATTGCTTCATTTCTGTGACTGGAAGCAGGTGCACACTGCAAATAAAGGAAGCCCAGTCTCATTTGCATGTTGTGTTATGCTTATTTAACGCATGTAGGAACAGAGCAGTGTTTGTGCAAATATGGGGAAAAAACTTCAGGAATTTACATAAAGGAGTTTCTGCAACAAAACCAAATTTGTCTTCGCCATAAACTGTAAAGGAAAGTTGAAATACACCTAAGTATTCACCAGCTTTTGTCTTTTAAGTTCTCCGTTTTGAATTTGTGTTTCCCTTAATTTACATTTTGTCTTTACACACTTAATGTGTAAAGATTGTGTTACTCAAAACTGCTATTCCACTCTCATTAACAGACACTGACTATGATTTTAGTTTGTTTGATTGTTCAGATTTGCAGAGTATTATTTCTTAATCACAACCAATAGAAACATTAAAAAATATCTTCACACTAGAAGCACTGAGCAGAGTGACAATATTATTTGGATATACACACTTGTCATTCATGCC